ATTTTGGCTTTTGTTGCCATTGCTTTTGGTGTTTTAGACATGAAGTCCTTGCCCATGCCTATGTCCTGAATGGTATTGCCTAGGTTTTCTTCTAGGATTTTTATGGTTTTAGATCTAACATTTAAGGCTTTAATCCATCTTGAGTTAAGTTTTGTATCAGGTGTAAGGAAGGGATCCAGTTTCAGCTTTCCACATATGGCTAGCCAGTTTTCCCAGCACCATTTACTAAATAGGGAATCCTTTTCCCATTTACAGATGCTTGTAGATGTGTGGTATTATTTCTGAGGGCTCTGTTCTGTTCCATTGGTCTATATCTCTCTACAGCAAGTTTCTTGGACTCTGATGTCACAGGAAGACACATGAACCCGGAGCACAATAAAATATGACCCATGGTGCCAGGGTATCATGGTGTGATTTCAGATATTTACATATGGGTTTTCTGAAAGCAAGACGCATCTTCAGTAGAACAGGGAGAGTTGTTTTCCTAAAATGTTGGACTTGCTTTGTGTGCCCTTTGTTTATTTATGTACAATTTTTTAAATTGTAGCAAGAACATTTTGCATGCAATCTACCCTCTTAACAGAGTTTTAAGTGTACAATACAATATTGATAATAATCGGCACAGTGTTGTAGAGCACGTCTCTAGAACTTATTCATCTTGCATGACTGAAACTTTATTCCCTTTGAAGAGCAACTCCCCATTTTTTTTTCATTTTCTTCTCCAGCCCCTGGCAACCATCATTCCACTCTCTGCTTCTGTGAGTTTGACTATTTTAGATTCCGCCTATACGTGGAATCAGGCAGTATTTGTCCTTCTGTGACTGGTTTATTTTGCTTAGCTTCATGTCCTCAAGGTTTATCCATGTTGTCACGCATTGCAGGATTTCCTTCTTTTTCTAAGGCTGAATAATATACCGTGTGCCCTTTAGACAGGCAGCAAATACACTGCCCTATCTTTCAGTCCCACCTAACCCAACTGTTCCTTGTCTCTTGTCAATTTTTTAGCCTTTTGTCATTTCCTAAATGCCTTCCTGGCCCCTATCAACTGGAGGCACATAAACAGAATGAAAGGCAGTCATAGAATCCATGGAGGGGCTGAGGCCTGAGGAGGAACTTGCTTGGGTATCTCATCCCACGGCTGCGCAGTGCTGGTCCAACAGCTCCCTGCCCGCTCCAGAGAATCACTGCTACACTTCATCATCAGTACTCCATGGACTACCTTATACATTGTTTCTGGAAGGTTTTTCCATCACTTCCCTCTCCCTGCAGAAACATCCTTCTAATGGGGACAGGGTTGAATTCCTGTTGTCCGTTCATCCTTTAACCTCGCTATTGGGCTTGGGCTTGGCCTTGGCCTTGGCCTGCCTGCCCAGCACCAAATGGGCCCTGCCTCCACTATGCTTTTGCTGCAGACAGCAGAGGGCAGGCAGTGTGGATAGCACAGGGCAGGCAGTGTAGACAGCATTGGCTTCTCTGGAGTTGTGAGTTTCCTGGAGCCCACTGAAATTCTATTCAAAAGACAAGCTGAATTTTTCTAATCTAGAACCTTAGTACTCACAGAGCCCACGTGTTGTCTATGGTAAGTTAAGTGGTAATTGAGAGGTTTGCCAATTTTTATGTGATTTATTCTGGTTTTCTTTCAACATCCTGCGAACTAAAACTTAAATACAGCTTCGTTGTGGTTGCTTCTTCCTGTTTAGAGAATCTGGCATAATATTTTGTCTTCTGGGCTCAAATAACCATGTAATTACTCTGTAATCATATAGTAATTAGCATGTACTATATGCATTTATTACATAATTATATTCTTGGAGGATTGTATGGCAATTATACTTGCATTCAGCATATCATGAACAAGTATATAATTTGTTGTTTTTTTCTTTTATCCTCATTTCAGTTTACTAACCAGGGGCTGGAAGCTTATTCTCCTGTTGCCTCGTATGTACATAGCCAGGCAGGTGCCTCTGTTTTGGCCTCACCTAGCACTCCTTATTCTACATCTGTGGGAATGTTAGGAGTTTTTGTGCTGCTGTAGACTCCTAGTATTTGTACTCCTAGCTTTCTCTTGTCATGAAGTCATTAAGTTATTAGCTTCAAAACTCATTAAGTTCTAGAGCCACTGGCAATGCCAGATAAATGGCAAGATCTCAATTAAAACAGAGTAGGTGAGAACACAGAGCCAAGCACTGTGACCATGCCTGTCTTTCTCTGCATTTGCAGTGGAGCACATTCCCAAAGGGAACAACTGCCTGGATGCAGCCAAGGCCTGCAACCTCGACGACACTTGCAAGAAGTACAGATCAGCGTACATCACCCCGTGCACCACCAGCGTGTCCAACGATGTCTGCAACCGCCGCAAGTGCCACAAGGCCCTCCGGCAGTTCTTTGACAAGGTCCCGGCCAAGCACAGCTATGGAATGCTCTTCTGCTCCTGCCGGGACATCGCCTGCACAGAGCGGAGGCGACAGACCATCGTGCCTGTGTGCTCCTATGAAGAGAGGGAGAAGCCCAACTGTTTGAATTTACAGGACTCCTGCAAGACGAATTACATCTGCAGGTAAGCGGGCACTGGCAGCCGGTGATTAATGAGGTGACAGGGAAAGTCTTGGTGGCTGCATTGGCTGCTAAACTCCCTTTTCTGTGCTTCTACCAAGGTAGAGGAGGGAGGGGAACCCAGTTCATTTGAACGAACAGGCAAAAATCTGACCTCTGTGTCTGCCACGGAGTTCTTCAGAAGCTGCTCAGGCCTCTGTGCTGGCGAAAGTTCCCATCTTTAATCTGGGAATGCTTTGAGGGATGCTAGAATGAGGTAAAATACCACTGCCTTTCCTGGATACCTCTCAGGTGAGAGGGTCACCTGGGGGGCAGTGACCTCAAGGCACACACCTGCTCCTCAAGTCCTGAGGGCTGCCAGGGATTAAGTAAAGAGGAGCTGGCTGGAGCTTTGGAGGCTCTTGAGCTTCAGGGGCAGAAACCTGGAAGAGACCAGTGAGAGGGATTGAGCAGAGTCCAGCCTTGGGGTGAACTTTGAATGCCTGGGTCTGTTCTGGACTGTTCTGTGGCTATGAAGAGGTCACCCTCCCACTTAGCTAATCTCCCAGATCTCAGCCTCCATCAGAAATTTGATAAGCCTGGACCATGTTGTTAAAAATATTCACTTCCTTTTGCTTTTTGGCCATTTCTGAATTTACTTTGATATCTGAAGGAGTCCATGAATACACTTTCTGTGTTTGAAAAACAAAAAACTGGCTGGGCGTGGTGGCTCACGCCTGAAATCTCAGCATTTTGGGAGGCTGAGATGGGTGGATCACCTGAGGTCAGGAGTTTGAGACCAGCCTGGCCAACATGGCGAAACCCTGTCCCTAGTAAAAATACAAAAAATTAGCCAGGCGTGGTGGCAGGCGCCTGTAATCCCAGCTACTTGGGAGGCTGAGACAGGAGAATCACTTGAGCCTGGGAGGTGGAGGTTGCAGTGAGGCAAGATGGCACCATTGTACTCCTGCCTGGGGGACAAGAGCGAAAATCTGTCTCAAAAGAAAAAAAAGAAAAACCACAGGCCTGGCACAGTGGCTTACACCTGTAATCCCAACGGTTTGGGAGGCTGAGGCAGGCAGATTGCTCGAGGTCAGGAGTTTGAGATCAGCCTGGCCCACATGGTGAAACCCTGCCTCTACCAAAAACACAAAAGCTAGCCAGGCGTGGTAGTACATGCCTTTGGTCCCAGCTACTCAGGAGGCTGAAGTAGGAGAATTTTTTGAACCTGGGAAGTGAAGGATGCAGTGCGCAGAGATCATGCCACTGCCCTACAGCCTGGGTGAAAGAGTAGGACCTTGTCTCAAAACAAACAAATCAACAAACACAAACCACAAACACAGCAGTATAGATGTAGGTAGAGTGAAAAGAGAAAGTTACCCTTCACTCTGCTCCCATTCACCCCCAAGCTTCAGGCAGTCACTGTTAACCATTTTGTGTGTGTCCTCCCAGAACTTAGTGTTGAATTCAGTTGCTGATTGAAGCAAGTAGATTTGGGGTATCATATTGAAAAACAACTGTACTTTGTCCCCAGGTAGAAGCCCTCAATATATGCTAAGCCAGTGGACAAGCAGATGGGAGTATGACCATGTACTTGTTTCCTATTGGTTCCCCATTTCTAAAAAGCCAAGAGCAGGAAAAAAAAAAAAAAAAAGTCTGCGATGTTGAAGATTCTGAGTTTCCGTTCAACTTAAGTTTTATTCCGGTAGAATGGGAACCCACTCTTTCCTTAAATCAGCTGTAATAATGACCAAAGAAAATTGTAAGTCCTCGTTATCTGTATAACCCTCTCATGCTGAAGACTTTCTGGGAGTAATGTTTCTCCTCCTTTCTAAAACAAATTGGAAGCAAGAGACCTGCTCTATGAGGAAGGACTCGGATGACCAAGCATCTTATGAACTGAGTTTGCATCTTGGGAAGAAACAGGTGTTCCAGCAACACAATACAAGGACGCTTCCTCACTTCCAAGCCCCTGGTTCATTAAGGCACTCTAGCTGTGGGCTAGAAGCAGGGATAGGTGTGCTAGAAGGGTCCTGAGAAAGAGGCAGATCCTCAGCAAGCCAGGAACCTGGGGAAGCCAATCAGTTAGGGTGTTGAAGCACCTTCTGCTGAAGATGAATAAAATGAATGCAGCCAAGAAGCTGCAGGGAGCTTTGCTTGGGGTCCAGGGATGGGATAGAGCAGAGATCCTGAAGATCTCTGGATGTGAAACCCCAATTCCTGGGGCCCCTTTAGTCTCTGAGCAGAAGGGATCCCCCTTCTGGGAGCAGGACTGGATTTCTAGGGTCTTACTTGGCTTAATGCTAGACAGCTCCTCTGTGTCTCTATAATAAGATGGGATCTTGTCCACTGATGGTTCCAAGCCAGGAGACCTGGGCTTTCGGTCCTGCCTCAAGATGGGAAGCTGTATAGGGCAGAAATGGAGCTGTGGATGAGTATTCCATCTATGGAATGATGGCTGGGAGGTGGGAGAGGTGGTGGTGATGGAGCTTTTCCTTCCTCTTCTCCCAGGTTTATCTTACACAAGATGGCCAGAGAAGGTCTGGGACCTCCCCTACACATATTGAGAAAGCCCATATTGAGCAGATAATTTGCATTCTCTGGCTTGTTCTTCTAAAAAGAGATAATCATTTGAGGGTTGGTGAGAATTCATTAGATCAAATTGCTTTCCTGCTAAGCTGTAGTGAGAATAGCTGGGCGTTGAGAACTTAGAGGGCTCTAGAGGAGGCGATGGGAGGAACCTGCAGATAACAGGATGGTTTAGGTGCTGTCTGGGGCCTCAGACTGAGGAAGGAACAAGTTCCAGGAACTGTTTGTGACATCTGTAATAGCAGGGAGTGGACTCAGCTGACAGCACAGAAATGTACAACAGGAAGCAGACGGCCCTTGTCTGTGTATTGACTTTGCCTGATCTTCCTGGAGTGGACAGCAGCCACCATGCACTGGGGTGAAGGATCCCTAGGCTGGATGGTGGGACTAGAGGCGTGTTCGTGCTGCTGCCACATTTCTGGCTCTGGGAGAAACTCAGAGGCTGTTTAGGAATCCAGATCTAGACTGTCCCGGGGCCCTACCCAGTGAAATTTGTCTCAGTGTGATTGATGGGTTTTATACACTGTCTTGAGCCTTTCCTGGGAAGCTGAATCCATGACTTCCCTGGTGTTACCCATTGTCAAGTGATTTAGCCCATAATTTCTTTCCAGAGCCTGGATTTATTACTCATGATTACCCCCTCCCTGTCGGAGGTGCTAAATGTAATTTGAGCTGCTAGGTTGGCTAGCAGTGTTTGCTTCCATCACATTTTATTACTCTTGCCTTTAATTTTATGCCTTTTATCCCATCCCTTCTCAATCCATCTGTGTGAGGCCATTGCTGTTCTACCCAGAGTAGCAGCTGGTACTAGCTGGAGCTGGGGGTTCTTTGGGTCTCACATTATAGTTGCTATAACCCTAACCCCACCACTGATGTGATGACTTGAGGTCTCATTTGAATAGCCCCAAAGGGAAGGGATGGCAGGAGGGAAACTTGCTTCCTAAAAACCATATTCTTGGAAAGCTCACACTTTCAAATGCTCCATTTACATCTTAACATCAGCAACCATCAAAGAGCTGTTCAAGCTCATTAAAAGCTCCCTGAATTTAATATTTTCCAACTGAGGGCCTACAGGTTTCCTTCCCCAGGGTCCAACAGTGCCTCTGCACAGAACCTGTCTCTCTTCCGCCTTATGCCTTCAAACAGATGAGAAGCAACATTAGCTTTTCTGTTTGACTTTGTTTTCCTTTTTCCTTTTCCCTTTTAGGGAAGCTGACAGATTCCTTTCCCCTTGAGGTAGTTGGGGAGAGTCAGAGCCTGACTGTTTGGGCCTCCAAGCTTGTCCACAGAAAAGCAAATGCAGAGGTATTATTAGAAGGGTGACATGGAATTTCAAAGCCCTCACAGTCTTCCCCCTGAGCAATGTCTCCCCTGCCAGGTTTCCTCTGGTTGCTTTTCTTAGTGTCTGGAAAGATATCAGGACTGGTTTGTCTGAATGGAAGCATAACCTTTTGTTCCTGATGCAAATCTGTATAATTTAAACTTATATCTTCCCTCCTGTCTAAGCACTGGCTCGGGTGCCACAAATAAGTTCCTATCTCTTTATTGTAATTAATCGCTCAAGTACCTCAGCTATTCTTCATTACCAGGCAGTCCAGCGCCTTCCCCCTGGGCAAGTTCCCTCATGTTTTCATCGAAGAACCACAGAGGTAGACTCCAAAATCCCTTCTGCTTCCAGTGTCAAGCAAAGAGGGAACCCAAGTCTGCTAAGCAGCCCGCTTGCCTGTGCCTTTAGCTGCTGCCACATGGTGTCGCTGTTGAGAAAAAACTCAGGGTATGCTTGGTGGTTTAGTGGCCTTGTCCTTCTGGGGCATTCAGCATGTGCGGCAGAGCTGCTTCACCTGAGTGACAACACCTAGTTTATACTCACGTATGCAGCCATTGTTTCCAAAGCATGACATTTTGCTCTGGGGAGCTACGTTCTAAGGGGTTCCAATCAGAGCCAGCCCTCTACCTTGAACACCAGTAGCCCAGGCTCTACGTTTTCTGGCAGTGTGTTACTAGGTAGAATTGAATGCTTCTCTTTTTTCTTTTGTTTAATTATTATTTTTTAGAGACAGAGTCTCATTCCGTTACCCAGGCTGGAGTACAGGATTGCAGTCAAGGCTTTCTGTAGCCTCTAACTCCTGGGCTCTAGTGATCCCCTTATCTCAGCCTCCCATGTAGCTGGGACTACAGGTGCATGCTACCATGCCTGGCAAATTTATTTTAATTAATTAATTATTTATTTTTAGAGACAGGGTCTTGCTATGTTGCCCAGGCTGCTCTTGGGCTCCTGGCCTGGAGTGATCCTACTGCCTCAGCCTTCTAAGTAGCTGGAAATTGAATGTTACATTTGCATTCCTATTGCCAACAGTGCTGGGTTAAGGGTATCTCCCTCCTTTTAGAAAGATTCTGATAATGCTGAACCTCAAAAGGAAATGGGTCAGGGGCTCT